GTCCCAAATTGCCAACAAGCATGAAGGCTTATGTTGAAAAATCTACAACAGGAAATTTGATGTGCTATTTCTGTTTTTCCAATTCTTTCTGTAGAAGCTGGCAGAGGATTCTTCCCCTCCAAAATGGGAAAAGCTGAATGTCCCTGCCACCATGTATGGAGCAAGCAGACGTTACTACACAATAATGGAGAGTTGCAATCACATGGTTTAAAAATAAAACCTTCTTTTCCTTCACACATGAATGGGGTCTGCAAATTAAATTTGGACGTGTGATGTGTGCATGTATGTGGGTGTATGAAAGAAGTGCTACTTGGTCCATTTTTTAAATTTTTATTCATTAGTTTGTCAAACATGTACAAGATAGCAGATATAAGTATGAATATGGACATAAACAAAGGAAATGAATACAAATAAATGGGGACAGTAGGACAGGGACGGTAGGCACGCTGGTGCGCTTATGCATGCCCCCTTTACACACCACTTAGGAATGGGGTGAGGTCCATGGTAAACAGTTTAAGGTTGAAGCTGTGAGGGTTTAGAACAGGGGTGGGTTTCAACCGGTTCGCGGCAGTCCCTGCGAACCGGTTGGTCGCCGAACCCGGAAGTAAGTAACTTCCGGGAACGGCGAAGGGCCCACCCGCGCCCACGCGCGCCCGCGCCCACTCCTTACCCGGTTTTGATTAATTCTGCGCTTCCACGAATGCGCAGGACGCATACAGCGCCTGCGCGATCGTCCAGGAGCAGCTGGAGCATTGCACAGATGCTAGTACGCACGCGTGCACCGCACACGTGCGCGAGGACGCCGCCGGCCTCATTCCAACTGAACCGGTTGGAACGGGGCAAGAAACCCACCCCTGGGCTGATGAGTTCCCAGCCCCACTTGAATTGTTGCGATAGTTGTGTAGCTTTTAATCTGTTTCTTGTATCTTGTTTTTGTCTTGTTTGTTTTTTGTATCTCCCCCTTCCCCACTTGTTTGTTAGCCGCCCTGAGTCCCTCGGGAATAGGGCGGCATACAAGTGCAATAAACATAACATTCATTTATAC